ACCCCCCCCCCCCTTGAGCAAACCCTCAGTGCAAAACCCTACATGCAAACCCTTTGCACTCCCCTGTGCAAAACCCCACAAGCAAACCCTCTGTGCAAACTCTCTGCCCTCCCCCGTGCAACCTCTTGTCCAAACCCCCTCCTGTGCAACCTCCCCCCCGTGCAACCCCCCCTCTGCTCACCGGGGTACCCCACAGCAGAATGCAGCAAATCCATGCCTGGTCCAGCCAGCGTCAGCCCATTGACAGCATAGTGGGGCTGCTTGATGTAGGACATCATGCTCCGGGCTGCGGGGACACGGCAGGGTTGCAGGGCAGCATGCAGCAGTGCAGCGTGGCACGGTGCAAGGTTGCATGGTGCAGTGCAACGTGGTGTGGTGCAGGGTTGCATCGTGCGATGCAACGTGGCTTGCAGAGTCGCACGATGCAGCACAACGTGACGTGGGGCAGAGTTGCATGGCACAATGCAACGTGGCGTGGTGCAAGGCTGCATGGTTCAAGGTTGCATGGTGCCATGCAACACGGCATGGTGCAAGGCTGCACGGCGCAATGCAACATGGTGTGGTGCAGGTTTGCGTGGTGCAATGCAATGTGGCGTGCAAGTTTGCATGATGCAAGGTTGCAGGGTGCAATGCAACGTGACGTGGTGCAAAGCTGCATAGTGCAAGGCTGCGTGGTGTGGTGCAGGTTTGCATGGTGCAGTGCAACATGGTATGGTGCAGGGTTGCATGGTGCAAGGTTGCATGGCGCAATGCAACATGGCGTGGTGCAGGTTTGCATGGTGCAGTGCAACATGGCATGGTGCAGGGTTGCATGGGGTGGTGCAAGGTAGCACGGTGCAATGCAACATGGCATGGTGCAGTGCCATCTTCAAGGTTGCACAATGCAAGGTTGCACGGTGCAAGGTTGCATGGCGCAGGGTCGCATGGTGCAGGGTCGCATGGTGCAATGCAACATGGCACTGTGCATGGCTGCACGGTGCAATGCCATTTTGCAAAGGTTGCATGGTGGAATGCAGCACGGCACGGTGCAAAGCAACGCCATGCTTTGCAGCACAGCACAGAGCAACGCACGGAGCAGCACTGCATGGCACAGCACTGCACAGAGCAACACACAGCACAGCACTGCACTGCACTGCATGGCACAGCACTGCACAGAGCAACACACAGCACAGCACAGCACTGCATGGCACAGCACCACAGACTGGGGACATCATGGGCCCCATAGACTGGGGACACCTCGAGCCCCACAGATTGGGGACATAAAGGGCCCCGTTAATTGGGGACACCTCGAGCCCCATGGATTGGGGACATCATGGGCCCCACAGACTGAGGAAATCTCATGTCCTATAGATTGGGGACATAAAGGGCCCCAGAGATTGGGGACACCTCATAATGCATGGACTCGGGATTCCTTGTGCCCCATGGATTGGGGACACCTTGTGCCCCATAAATTGGGGACACCTCATGCTCCATGGACTGGGGATTCCTCGTGCCCCATAGATTGGGGACATAAAGGACCCCATAAATTGGGGACACCTCGTGCTCCATGGACTGGGGATTCCTTGTGCCCCATGGACTGGGGACATAAAGGACCCCATAGATTGGGGACATAAAGCACCCCATAGATTGGAGACATAAAGGACCCCATAAATTGGGGACACCTCGTGCTCCATGGACTGGGGATTCCTTGTGCCCCATAGACTGGGGACATAAAGGACCCCATGGACTGGGGACAGCTTGAGCCCCATAAACTGGGGACACCTTGTGCCCCGTGGATTGGGGACATAAAGGACCCCATAAATTGAGGACACCTCATGCCCCATAGACCGGGGACATGAAGGACCCCATGGATTGGGGACACCTTGTGCCCCATAAATTGGGGACATAAAGGACCCCCTCGTGCCCCACAGATTGGGGGCATAAAGCACCCCATGGATTGGGGACAGCTTGAGCCCCATGGATTGGGGACACCTCGTGCCCCACAGACTGAGGACACCGCAGTGGGGCTGATGTCCCTCTCCCCGTGTTGGGGGCTCCGTCCCTCACCCATGGGTGCCCCCCAACCCCCCACCCCCACCCCAAACACCCCCCCGTCCCCTCAGAGCTGCCCTACCTGTGCTGGGCTCGGGGCTGGCGGTGGGAAGGCGTCCCCGCGCCGGGGGGAGCTTTAAGTAGAGCCCCCCCGTGATGTCACCGCCCCGTTAATCCCCGGGGTGACATTGGGCCCCGCACGGGGCTTTAATCCGCCGCCGCCGGCAATTAGCGCTCATCCCTCGTTAGTGGAGCGGGGGGAGCATGGCGCTGACCCCCCCCCCCACCCCCAAGGCTGTGGGGTAACAACCCTGTAATTGCCACTGGTTCATTATATGGGGAGGTGGAGTGGGGTTTCCTCTATGGGGCACGGTGGGGGGGTTATCATGAGCCCCACCGATGCCCCCAGTCCTAATTAAAACCCGTGTCTAATTGCAGGGACTGACGGCGGGCCGTCCGGTGCTCGTTAGGACTGATGATGGGGTGTGAAAGCGCTGCTCATTTGGGTGCAAACTTTGGGGGTTTGGGTGCACCTGTGGGTGGTGGCGTGTGGGGGGGGGGGCACAAAAAGCCCCCCCATGGGGACAAGGACGGGTTTGGGGTGGAGCTGGGACCCCTGGGTGGGGGGCATGGGATGGAGCTGGGGTGAGGAAACCCATTGTGGCCCCTTGGGGTCCTCACTCAGCCCCCAGTCCTGGTGCAGCCCCCAAATCCCAACAGAGACCCCCAAAATCCCAGTGAACCCCCCTCAGATCCCCATGCAGCCCCCCCAGGCCCCTACGCAGCCCCCCAGGCCCCACCCCACCCCCAGCAGCTGGGAGCAGTGCTGTACCGGGCCTGATTAGTTTGTTTTTCAGACGTGGGGATTTGGGGCTGATTAACCCTAATCCTGCATCGGTGGGGGGTGGGGGGTGAGTTGAGGGTGGGGGCAGCACAGATGCAGCATTGATTCACCCAGGGCTGCCCCCTCCCCAGCTTGAGACCCCCAAATAATCCCCTTTTTGGGGTCCCCGTGGACTGGATCCCCGAAATACCCGGCCCTATAATGTATCCAAAATGGGTGAGGCTCAAAAGATGTCACAGATCCGAGAGATTTCACCCCAAATCTGAGACGTTTCACCCCAAATCCTGCTCATGAACTGCTGACCGGAGGGGTGTCCCCACATCTCCATCACCCCAAAGCCACCCCACGTCTGTGTGCCAACCTTGAAGGCTTTAATCCAGAAGGGAACCCCAAAACCCCAATTAAACCCCGATAATGAGAGGAGGGGCCCCAAAACAGCTGATGATTTTTGTTACCATTTTCAGGGTTGTTTTGGCATTTTGGGGTCCTGAAATGGCCCTGTAGGGTTCTACAGCGCCTGCTCCTGGAGAAGGAATACAATTAGTCACTTTGTAATCTACGTAATTAAAATAAACACAGCATTTCTCAATGAATGTCCTTTCCAGTGATGGTTTTGGGCAGAAAAGCCCCAAACGGTGGAGTTTTAAGGCAGCGAACCCCAAAACGACGGGGTTTTAAGAAGCAAAGCCCCCAAATTGTGGGGTTTAAAGGCAGCAAAACCCCTAAAGTTGGGGTTTTAAGTCAGCAGACCCCAAAATTGTGGAGTTTTAAGGGTGATTCTCCCCCAGGGCAGCGCTGCTGGGGGTCCCGGGGGGCAGCTCAGCCCCAGGGCCGTTCCTTGGGGCCGACCTCAGGTGCCACCACCCCCCCCCCGGCCCCATAATCCCTCTTAGGGTGGCTCACATGGGACTAAATTTACCACCGGGGTGTCAGCAGCAATCACGTCACCCCCCCACCTCCCTCCCCAGGGTAATCCGGGTGCAAATCCCCCGGAAAAGGGAAAGGAAAAACCCCACAGCCAAAGGTCCACGGGAAGGGAACCCCCCCAAAATACAGCACAACATCCACAGAGCCCCCAAAACCCACCTCAGCTTTGGGTTATGTGTGGGGGGAATTTATTGCTAACGAAGCAGAAAACGTGGGGCTGGGCAGGGGTTAATTAGGAAGGAAACTTAATGAATATTGAGGGTTTTATTTATTCGGGGTGGGGAACGCGGCCCGGTACAAAGTGGAACATGAGGGATGTATGGGATGGGGGTGATGGTGGGGATGTGGGGCACAGCAGCTGCCCCATAGCAGGATGGGGGGTGGGGGGGCAAGGGGTGCAGCCCCCCCAGCACGACATTTTGTGTACAAAACCCTCCCGTGCCCCCCATGACCCTATATTACAGCTCCAAAAAGAAAACCCCAACGCAAAAAGTGTACAAAAAGGGGCAAAAATAAAGGGGAATGTCCCATCAACCACCTCCCTCCCCTTCTCCCCCCCCCCCCCCCCCCCCCCCCCCCCCCCCCCCCCCCCCCACCCAAAAAAAAAAGGTTTGGGATAGGCTGTGGGGTCTGACCCCCCCCAATGTGTGGGTTTGGGATGGGTTTGAGGTCTGACTCCCCCCCGCTCTAAGGTGTGGGTTTGGGGTCTGACCCCCTCCAGGTGTGGGTGTGGGGTGGGTTTGGGGTCAGACTCCCCCCCAAGTGTCAGTCTGGGGTCAGACCCCCCCCAGGTGTGGGTATGGGGCGGGTTTGGGGTCTGACCCCCCCCCAGGTGTAGGTATGGGGGGAGTTTGGGGTCAGACCCCCCCCAGGTGTGGGTATGGGGCGGGTTTGGGGTCTGACCCCTCAGGCACGCTCGCCGCGGATGCGCCGTGCCAGCTGGATGTCCTTGGGCATGATGGTGACACGCTTGGCGTGGATGGCGCACAGGTTGGTGTCCTCAAACAGCCCCACCAGGTACGCCTCGCTCGCCTCCTGCAGGAGGAGGGGTGAGGAGTCAGTGTTAATTACAGCTCAGAGTTAACGAGCTCGTGGATCGCCTGGGGTGACTGGGAGGGACGGCAGCTCCTCAGGGTGGGGTAGGGAGGGCTTGTGACCCAGTACCCGCCCCAGTATCCCCCCAGTGTCCCCCAATATCCACCCCCCCCATCATCTTCCTCCATCACCTCCCCAAGCCCCAGTCTCTTCCCACTCTCTTAACACCTCCCCCTCAGTGCCCCCACATCCCTCTGGAGCCTTAATATCTTCCTCCCAACACCTCCTCACACCCCAGAATCTCCCCACAACACCACTCCTCCCCCAACATCTCCCCTCAGCATCTACTTTGTGCCCCAGAATCTCCCTCCCCAGTACCTCCCCCCATCCCGTTGTCTCTGACCCCAATATCTCCCCAGTGCCCCCAGTGTCTCAGCATCT